TCTTATGGCTTTCTTTCAACAGTGAATTTCTTCTTGCCACTCTTCCATAAAGTCCAGATTTGTGTAGTGCATGACTAATAGTTGCCCTGTGGACAGATTCTCCCACCTGAGCTGTGGATCTCTGCAGCTCCTCCACAGTTACCATGTGCCTCTTGACTGCTTCTCTGATTAATGCTCTCCTTGTTTGGCCTGTCAGTTTAGGTGGACGGCCATGTCTTGGTAGGTTTGCAGTTATGCCATACTCTTTCTATTTTCAGATGATGGATTGAACAGTGCTCCGTGAGATGTTCAAAGTTTGGGATATTTTTTTATTTATAACCTAACCCTGCTTTAAACTTCTCCACAACTTTATCCCTGACCTGTCTGTTGTGTTCCTTGGCCTTCATGATGCTGTTTGTTCACTAATGTTCTCTAACAAACCTCTGGAGGGTTCACAGAACAGCTGTATTTATACTGAGGTAAATTACACACAGGTGGATTCTATTTACTAATTAGATTACTTCTGAAGGCATTGGTTGCACTAGATTTTAGTTAGGGGTATCAGAGTAAAAGGGGCTGAATGCAAATGCACACCACGCATTTCAAATACTTATTTGTAAAATGTCTTCCACTTCACAACTATATGCCACTTTGTGTTGGTCTATTACATAAAATCCCAATAAAATACATTTACGTTTTTGGTTATAACAGGACAAAAATGTGGAAAATTTCAAGGGGTATGAATACTTTTTAAAAAAGGCACTGTATGTGCACATCTGCAGTGTAAGTTTCTCTATGGCAGCATTTCTCAACCAAAGTGCTATCTGGGTTGCCCTGGGGTGCCGCAAGCACAGGATTTAGTTTGCCCTGGATCAACATCATGAGCTGTCATGGTGCCTACGAGCAGGCTGGCGGCCAACACCATAACAAGAAATGATATTCTAGGCCAGGACAGTGTCACTCGTAACTATGGTGATTAGTACCATGGTAATGCATAATTCTGATCCAGGGCAGGTGGCATGCAAGACCGCAACAAACATTCAGAGGAAGACGGAAGTCTACCTCCTCCTGACCTCTTCCATCCTCTCACCCTCTGGCATGCTGCTGGAGCCAAAAGTTAGGGCTCTGATGTGAAGGGGGACTGTGTGACCTGGGGGGGGGGGGGAGCTCTCTGATGGACAAACTGTGTGATTGGGGGGTTCTGATGTGGTGGTAGGACTCTGTGGTGATGGGGAGGCTCATGTATATGGGGACTCTGATGTACAGACATCACTGGGGGGTCTCTAATGTATAGGGGAGCCTCTGACATGAAGAGAGGACCTCAGATGTGATGGGGAGTTATGATGTAAAATTGTGTCACAACTGAAGAAAGGTTGAGAAACACTGATCTCTGGCACTGTTCCTCTTTTTTTTTTAATTTAAATTTTTATTTATTTTCCATATATAATACATATTTCATCATATTTCTCATACAAAAACCATTTCTATATCATTAATTACATTTCTTACTATCTTTATTCCCATTTACCTCCCCCTCTATCTAATTTTCCCACCTCCCTAAATAAAACCTCCCTCCCCCCATGTAAACCCACCCACTCTGCATTGTTCTATTAGGCACTGTTCCTCTTGACTGTTAATCTCATAAGATTTGTAGTGACGTTTGGTTATGTCACTCTTGCACTGCTTACTGTCCTGATTGCTAGAGAGAAAGCCATATTCATTGAGCTGCTGTGTAATGGTCTCCCTGCTTCTCAACTTTATCCATTCTGTACTTTATATGTACCTCTTCTCCTGCTTCTTGAATATGCCTCCATTAGTCATAAATCACCAGTCACCAGGGAGACTGTTCTGACATGAGGTAGCAAAGACCTTCTCCACTGCTAAAACAGCCCCTTCCACACAGAGCTAAAATGCAGAATAAGTCAATAATATAGAAAAGATGCATGGAGCCTATAGGCAATACTCTGGTGACTAGTCATTTGCTTTCTGCTTGCTTTTGGGTACAGCTTCCATTGTTCAAGTCCTAATTAGGAAGCTAAGGGGCTGACTTACTGTGCACCCTCAACTTCATCCCTGACCTCAGAAATTGTAAATACTGGGCTCAACATACAGGTGTCAAGTGCTACTGGGAAGCCTTCCAGCAGGCTAAAGCTTGTCAAATGCTATGGCAGATTTGACTGGTTTCTGACATACCAGCCAAAATTTGCTCTGTAGGTGGTCCTGTAGAAACGCTTTCATCCGACATCCTTCGCCTGGAAAATCAAAGGAGTTGGACAAAAATTTTCTAACTTAAGGTGGCCATACATAAATAAAAATTGTGCCAGTTCAGCAAAGATTGGCCAAATTTCGATCCATTTATGGGCAGACAGGTTTCATAGAAGTTGATCAACAGATCAACTTCTGTACAACCAACCTGTCAGGTTTTTCCCGATCAATCAGTTCCACCGGCTATAGCTGGCACGGATCAGTGTATTCTGACAGCAGTGAAGGCTCCCCACCAGCAGAACACAATAGCACAGACGGAGCGATTCACCCATCCACCTCAAATGTGTGGATAGAGGAATCGTTCATTTTTTTCTTTTCATTCAACCTGCTGGTTGAACGAAAAGAAAATGGCTAATGTATAAAATCAGATGCAGCAGCTGTCAGAGCGCAATGTGTTTATCCCTGCTGTATATAGTCAACAGTGGAATCTGTTAAATTTTTTCACTCGATGTTTGGCCAGCTTTAGTCTACCTTCACAAGGATGTCAAAATCAGAAGAATCTGCTAAGCTGAATGGCCCAGTAAACACTTCTAGCCGGCATCAGGTTACACAGTGCCATTATGAACATTGCATGTAACAATCAGGCCACACTATTCCATTTCTTTCAATTATATCCCCCAGAAGGCCACCTGGAAAGTACTCTCAGTGCAGGTTGAACAGAGCCTGGATGAGCTGAATAAAAGCTGTGTATTGGAACACTTCAAAGAGGTGGTCAGCCATGCTGTGAGGTGAACGATCTTCACATACCATAAATGTTTAACTGCTGCTTCCATCACACAGCTGAATTTAAAAGACTCTTTAAAAAAAGAATTTCTGTCCAAATTAAATACTATTTTAGACGAGGATCTGTTGAAAACACTGCATTTAGCCAAAATGTATTTACCTACTTTCATTCAGTGAGAGCAGCTAACACTGTAATTTGCTGCTTGTTTGAATATGAAATAACCCCACAAATGAGGTTTGTCTATGGTGAATGACAGCAAAGCTCATAAAGGAGTAAATCAAGCAAAAGAACCACTGCATCATAGGAGCTAAGCTTCTGTTTTTCAGGTTCAGACCAATTCAATTATATCATTTGGAACTGAAGTGACAATACAGTTTTGTGCTTCTATAGACTTACCTGGCCTATAGAGACATGAGGTTAGAATGTTATATCCACGGCAAGGGTTTAGTTACTCTAAATGAATATTAATAATATATCAATTTATATAAAGATAGTCCTTAAATCTTAGAAAATATAAAAACTATAAAATGTATTTTTAAAGTATTTGTGAACATACTATTATCCTAGGCAAGTTTGACATAGTAAAAAAATAATTTTCCATCTTAAAAGTGCATTTAAAAAAAAAGGGTGAAAACCTTAATTAAAGGTTTTAAAGGTCAGTCACATGACAGCACAGGCTTCGTTCCTCACTGTTCCCAATAGCAAGGAGCATGCCTGTGTGTGTCAGGCGAATGTCACGCACAACAGATCTTCCTTCCTGCTTGGAGTTACAGGTTGCTGTGCCAATGCATAGTATGCCTGTATCTGGTGGAGTCAGTTTGGCAGCCACATCTACTGCTCAGCCTTGCTGAACTTACTGATTACAGCTTCCAGAAGAAGCCACTGTCAATCAACACAAAAGGGCTGCAAAGGGGTGTGGCGGCCAAACTGATTCCTTGAGATACAGGAATACTGTGCATCGGAACTGTGTTCAGTAACTCCAAGCAGGGAGTAAAGGCCCGTAAACTGACAACATCAGCATGGATCTGCCTCCATACTTGGTGCAGTCAGTTTGAATTCGGATAGAAGGGGAACTAGCAGGATCACCTGATATTTCCCCATGAATGTAAAAAAAAAAAAAAAAAAAAAAAGAAGATGAATTGACCAGCATATACATAAAAATACAAACACCTAGGTTCAATATTAAGTTAGGGGTAACTTACACAAATTAGTATATGTCCTCAGTGTGATTGGTAATTAATGCAACAGCTGCTGGGAGAGAGCAGAGCAACAGTAGGAGCCAATCAAGTGTGCTATACGTTAATGTACTGACAGAAGAAAGCAAAGCACCGGGGCTATCAATCAACTGCTGCTCCTTCATAGTCCACACACAGACTCAAGGCAATGAGATGACCTAGCTATAGGCTGAGCTGTCTGGTAAGGCTTCCTAGCTCTCAGGACTGGATGGACAGAAATGCAGTTAACTAAGCTGCCATATATGTATTAAAGAGCAAGGATAATGACACACTTTTTTTGACCTTTTGGGAAGTAGTGACACAAACAGGGAATTTGTTTCTGAAATATATAAGAATCTGGCAGGTGATACACTCAATAGCTGACCACCCCATAGAACATAGAAAACTGGTAGAGCTGGAGCTTATTACTGCATTTTCTCTATACATAGATAACTGCAGGTGTATCAGTAGATGTTTAAATTAAATCAGACATCCATTAGCATCCGTTTAGATCTTAGCAGTGCACTGTGGTCCATTGTATTAAACCAGCCCATTAATATGAATAGGCTGCCAATGCACTGCAACTATGGGAAGATGCACATGTGTCTTTATCCCAACACTGCACTGAACTACGCATATGCTGTATGTTCTGTGCTTTAGTGTATTTTATTGCCATTCAAATTGTAGTTACCATAACTCATAGATTTGAATAGGTCTTAGGCTTTTTCTGTGTCTCCTAAAACAACTTGTATTCTAGCAAATTCTTGTAAATTGCTGGGCTATGAAAATTAAGTTTAGAAAAACAAAAACAAAATTACCAGCATCAGATGGCCGTAACATGTCTGTATCACAAGTGAAAAATGTCTGATGATCTTGAGCTGATAAATTCATGTCATAATATGTTAATGGTTCCTTTCCAGTTACCAATGTATACCTTGACAAAGAGAGGAAAAATAAAATTACACAGTAACAAACAAATGGAAGTGCATTGTTTTAGTACTAGGCAGATAAAAAAGGCACAAAAAAGGAGATCTGTAATTAATACGTAATCAACAATTTTTTGAATGCAAGCAGTGCAAGTACATGAATTTGACCTGGTGTCAGTTTCTTGCAGTCCCTACAAGGAGCCAATAAGTTCATCTACGCACAAGAAGCAGGCTAATAGGAAGAGAGAGCAGAGTGGCAAGAGGTGAGCTCATCCCTGTTCAGCTTCAAAGACTGGGAATGTAATCAAGTCAACCTGGGCTCAGAGAAAGTGGTTTGAATGATCCTAGCCATCAGACTGATGACATCTAACAGGAGAAAAAGTACTACAAAGAAAATCTCTGGATTGAAGATGATGATATTGCAGCAACAGCTGTTTAACCCCTTAATAAGCTTTTCATTTTATCTTATTTTAACTGATGTTTTAAAAGTCTAGATTTACATTAGTGCAGGCTGAAGGAAGGTGTGTAATTGCATGCCTTCCAGCACCTGCAGAAAAAAACCCAATGCAGTTTAGGAGATATGTCAAGGTTATGCTAATGCACCCCACACACTGGGAACCGCATTGCACTATGCGGTTTCCCTGCAGCCACATTTTCTGAAAAGGTCCAGGGACATTTTCAGGGGGTACAGCAGCTCATTCAAATGAATGGGCACCTGTACTTGAGCAAATGCAGCCATGGAGAAACCTAAGTGAAATGCCCAAGTGAAAAACATTGATCTGTCCCAACTGTTTCAGAGGTGTGGGGCGCTAAAGAACTGTGCTAAAAACCAGAAGAGGATGAGTCTTGCACTACTCAACTCAAAGTGGTAAAATGAAAACTTTGCTAAAACGTTTGACTACTAGAGAGTTTTTTATGCATCATAGCTGTCCCATTTGTAGACAGCTAATGAGAAAAACATCACCAAAATCACTGTAAAAATGGAGAGGTAGCTATCTAGCCACTCATATACTACTACAAAAATAGGTCCCCTTCCCCCTCAAATTCTGGTTTATTATCAGAATATAGAGCATCAAGGGTGTAACACATTAACGTTCTCATTATAACCCTGGTATCTTCATAAAGCAGACCTATCAGCACCTGTGTATAATGCTACATAGGTGCATGCCAGCACCCTTTATAAAGAAATAAATCAAGAAAGAAAAAGGACCCCTGGTGTAGACTTTCTGAAGCAAGGCTGTGTGGCTCCAGGCAAGAGAGCAGAAGGAAGAATGTTGGATCAAGAGCGGAAGTATGTATGTATCAGGATGTGCTGCTTTTGGGAGGGTAGAAGCATGTCTTAGAATGTTACTAAAGGCAAAACGTTTTTTTATAATTTTTGGATAGAGTAAGGGAGAGTTATAACTCGTCTTGGCATTTTTTTTTGTGCCATCTGTGTCCTATTGGGGAGATTTCCCTTCACTTCCCATCCCACTGCCAAAAGAGGAAGTGAGGGAAAATCCCTCCAAATTAAGGAAATCCTAGAGTGTCACCAGGGACACCAGAACTAGTGTCTCAGTTGGAAAATTAACCCTCTATTGCTGTTCTAATGTCAACCCAAAATTTGGGCTTTTTCTTTATTTTCATTTTAAATAATGGTAAACAGGACCAATAAAGAGAGTGTGAATCTCACTAACGGGGGCACAGACAGCAATACAACTGACAGGGGTTCTACTTCCTTACCACTCTATCCAAAACTAAAAAAAGTCTTGCTTTAATGACACTTTAAGGAGTAACAGTTGTCCTTCAAAAGTTTTATTTCCTTGGGGAGATCCATACTCCGCGGAACCGTTGACACTGCCATTAGAACATTACTTTTAGTAAGTAAGCAAAAGGTTGGGCCTCTGTCAGATTTTTATTTCTTTCTGTATCTCTTTGGCAGATTTCCCCTCACTTCTTGTCTGGCAAAACTGTTTTAACTGGAATAGAGATTGGGGGAGGGGGGGGAGTAGCAGAGTCCAAGAAAGCAGAGAGGGTTCTAATCTAAAGGTTTTAATTCTCTATCAAAAGCTTTAAAAATATCCATCCATGATAATTTCAGTAATTTCAGGTCCATTACAACTCACAGGTTTTTCAAAGAGTAATAATAAATAAAAATAAGAATTCTACTCAGACAGCCCACTTGTTTTAGGGCCCTTGACAGCAGTGGGCTGCGCCCCACCAAAATGGTTAGTCACAGTATAAAGTTATTATCATTGCTTCTTGAAATACTTGTGTGTGCCCCTTCAGCAAGCCACATTAAGTTTTTTTTTTTTATATACTGTCTATATATTGTAGTCAGATAAAACTATCATTTGGATAAGGTATTGCACATGCAAGCCTTGTTAATAAAGATTGTACAAATGTGAGTAGATACCGTTTTGCTTTTCAGTTCTTCATGCAGGATTTAAAGTATTAATAGTGGTAATAAAACACACCCCATGAGACCATCCTCCCCCACCATCACATTTTTATATGACGTCTTATCAACGTGTGTAAACGTTCTTCCTGAGCGATTTCTCAATGGAGAGATTTATCATTTCCTATTACATGTCCACCATTGAGTTGCTGGTGATATCCAGACAAGAGCTGGAATAAATTAATAGCTTAGCTCACTCTGTACAGTGCAATGACTTACACAATCACATCTGTCAGCATGAACGTTTAAGATCCTAACATACTCTTATTTATTAATACGCAACAAAGTACAAGTAATCCATGCTAACATGCAATGCCCTTTCCTTAAGCAGATCAACACTTAGCTAAATCCTGCCAAACTGGATTTAGATTCTAGATAAGAACAGGCAAATTTTCTTATTTGAAGAGCATCTCTCATTTTGGACACACAAAATGTAGATAGTACTCATATGTTCTGGATTAGATAGATATTCTGTAGAACATGGATTGATGGATTTGAATACAGTTGTATTAGATTGTAAGCTCTATTGAGCATTGGCCTCATAACATTGAAAGTGAGTTTTTTTTTCCAATTCAGATTAGTTATTATTTAAAACCTCTGTCAAGTTTTAAGTGCAATCTATGTCCTCCTGGAGAGATTTCCCATAATTTCATCCCCTGGAGAGACAGAGCATTGCTGTGAGATTAACCTAATGGGGTTGATTTACTAAAGGCAAATAGTCTGTGCACTGCAAGTTAAAGTGAAGTTCCACTCACACTGTAAAAAAAATAAAAGTTAGCAGCTACAAAAACTGTAGCTGCTGACTTTTAAAAAACAGCCACTCACCTGCCCCATGATCCCACGATTCCCTCGCCGCAGCCCGTATTATCGGACGTCCTGTATTCCAAGCACCCGGCTCTGACAGCTTGCGTCTTCACAGCCGGGTGCGCATGCGCGAGTAGTGCTGAGCTTCCTGAATGGCCCTGTTGTCTTCTGGACCTGTCACATGTCCCTAAAGACTACAGGAAGGAGGACAACTTCCGCTTCCGATCGCCTAGGCGATTGCAGCAGAAGTGGGAGCAGGTACCTATTATCCTTAATGGGGAGCGGAGGACCAATCTTTAAAGGGGAACTTCCCCAATTGGGTGGAACTCCACTTTAAGTTGCCTTAGATCTGAGGGAAAGTTCTGAAATGAAGGGAAGTGCTGCCGATTTCTATCATCCAATCATGTGCATTAGCAAAAATGCTGATTTTTAATCTCACTTGCATGCTCCCTTCAGATCTAGAGCAACTGCACTTGCAGTGCACAGACATTTTGTCTTTAGTAAATCAACCCCACTGTCTACTCTTAAGAGTGCCTTTTCTATAAGTCATTTCTGGTAACAGAAATATGCAGAGAATGCACTTTGGAGAAGTGAAAGGGAAATTTTGACAACAGAAATGCCCTGAGCGTGTAGGACAGTAAGTAAAAGTGAATCTCACTAGAAGAACAGAAAGCACTGAGAACTTGATCATTTAAAGGTTATGTAAACCTAATGACATTCTCTTATTTTTGTTACATTTGTTTTATAAATACTTATATTCTCTGCTTGTGCTGCATTCCTATTAGTTATACTGTTCCCAGTTTGTTATTCCAAAGGTGGTTCTTGAAGTGCCAAGAAAACCTAATTCAGATCTCAGAAGTGACAGGTGAGTGCACAGGGGGAGTCACGTCAGAAAACCTGTATAAAAGATCTAAATCAAAAACTGGGAAAGCTAGTGATCCTTGGAACAAGATCATAAGCACCTAGGTTTGTCCCTTAATGGTTATCAGAGCCAAATGCTAGTGCAGGCCAAATTGTAACACGGTAAGGATTCATCCCACAAAACATTTTCTGAGATCAAAGCTTCCTTCTTCACACCAAGCAAAGTATGTCTTCCATGTTCAGTGGTAGACCTTGTAGGAAGTGGACTCTCTATAATAATTATATAATAATGAAATTATTTCTGGGTCGCGACTTAATGACCAAGGACAAATGTGGGTCCTGAGGTTCCACAGGTTGTCAACCACTGCTCTAAGAGATTAGAAGAATGGACATCCCCAACTCCACAACTGGATTCCTGAGCTACATGGGCAGAAAAACACCCTGGTCCTTGGTGACAAGCAAATTAGTTTGTCCACAGACTGAATTGATTTGTCCCAAAATGATAGGATGATGAGTTGTAGGGGTGTAGTGTGGAACTGGGCAAACAGAATTGTTTCTTAAGAGGCTACCATCAACCCCAGGACTCACATGTAGAAAAGAGTCGCTCAACCTCTGGCCTGTGAGCTCAAGTCTGGGAGCAGAAAGTTTGAAGTTTTTCTTGTAGAAGGAAAACTTTGCCTTCAGCGGCATTTAGTATAAGACCCAGATACTCCAACAATGACTCGGATCCAATTAATTTTATGTAGGTTCAGGATCCAACCAAACAGTTTCTAAAGGTCTGAACTGTCCTTGCTCCATTTTAAAGAACTTGCACCTAGTGTTCCCTCAAAAGAAAGTAATCCAGATATCTAACAATTGGATGGTCAGGAAGCATAACAAGCACATGGGCTATACAGCCTTGGTGAA